GTGTGCAACTGGAGAATTATGGCAGCCAGAAACCTTCCCATGCARATGATTCTCAAAGCAATGAGTCTGCCCATCATGCAGCTCGACAAATAGCTTACTGGTCTTCTGTGTTTGTAAAAATGTGTCCACAATCGTCACTCTCGCATATATCAGAATCATCTCCCCATGCTAACAATCATCCATTGGTTTCGTGCACATCATCATCATCCATACCGCCTTCATTTACACAGTCGCATGCTAACAATCATCCATTGGTTTCGTGTACATCATCATCATCCATACCGCCTTCATTTACACAGTCGCATGCTAACAATCATCCATTGGTTTCGTGTGCATCATCATCATCCATACCGCCTCCAGCGACAAAGTCTTCACTAGCCCATGAGTTTGACTCAGAAACTATCGCCATATACCAGCAGTATAACAGTGGACTTTCAATCACACATTGGCTGGACATCCTCCGCATTCCACGAAATGTGGAGACTTTGGACGATATTAAAAAAGTTTGGGAGGATGAATGCCAAAATTGTCCTCCTCTTTCCAAATGGACGCCGAGGATGAGAAGAAAACATTGGTCGATATGCAAAAAGTACATCCACGGTATAAGGAGACCAAGCCTGGGAAACTTTATAAACTGTTATCATAAAAATCCCGATCATCACATTTATTTCGCTGTCCAAAAACTGTATTTAGATGTTTTTTTTTTTACCTGACTTAAAATAGAACACTGCAAAGTATTATTTTTCAATGAATTATTGTTCTGAATTATTGTTATCAAGAGAAAATGTTATAGAGTATGCACAAAACCTGTAAATAGATGAACGGTGAAAATATAAAAACCACTTCTTTTCAAGACAAGTATATATAGCTGAAGTTTTTCATGGACCGTTTAGCATATATGAGTTTTTTTATAGACCCGTGAAACACTAACTACAAATAAAGAAAAACAAACAAAATGAATAAGGTCTGCTGATATCGCCAACACTATCCCGGGTCTTCCCTCTATATATTAAGATGAAAAAGGGGTATGAAAAAGTCGTTTTCAAAAGGTCATTTGCATGATGGCGTAACTTTACTACATCTACCAGAGAGCCTTGCGCATTTTCATTGTTATTCAGATTTTTAATCCCTTAGCAATTACATCAATTAGTAAAACAACTGGCAAAAAGGGGCAAAGAAATCTGGTGCTTGTAGTAAATGGCACCACAATGCAATTCGCCTATTGACCATGCATGGGAATGATGGTATTTGTTGGTAAAGAACAAGAAAGCAATAGATTCAGAGTGTGATACTAGAGTGCAACTAAAAATGTGAAACAAATTCCACTGAATACTGGTAAATATAATTATTCTGTTGTTGTGCACACGACACGAGATTCTCATTATAGAACTTCACTATAGGTTTCGAGTAATATTGCAGAGTCAGTAGAATAAAACATAGTGGCGCTWGGATGTGGGAAACCAAGTGAATTACTGCTCATGCTCAGATGGAGCTATCTTCATCAATTATTATTTTTTTTATGCATTATCGCAAAATTTTGATCATTTTACCACAAGCAACCGCATTTGTGTAAAAAATGGCCAATACCACAATTGGCCGTTCCGAATTTCAAAATGAGCTTTGAAAAAACGCAAAATGCGTTATTCACGAATCACACATTTAGAGTTAACGCAAAACATGTCCCGCGTATCCGAATAACACAGTTAGCGTCAACTCAAAACATGTTCTGTCCTTTTGAATCACACAGTTCGCTTTAGTTCAAAATGTGTGTTTGCAAAATGGCACAGATTGCGCTAACGCAAAGCATGTTTTAAGTACATGACACAGTTTGCGGTAACTCAAAATGTGTTTTGTCGTGAGGGTATATTCAGAAAAATTGAAGAAGATTTTTATATTAACTTCGAGCACAACAAGGGGCCGTTTGGCGTGCGCATGCGCCAGTCTGTTGAAAATTCATTGAAATTCATTTGTGATTCACTTCAAATGAGAAATTACAATGACACGAAGGACAATTTCCAAAAATGTTTTTGGTTGTTTTTGACCCTGAAATGTTCTGTCATAACTCAAGAACACTCATAAATAGTGTAACCTACAACGAGGAAAAAGTTATTGGACTGATTGGGACCGTTTAAAATCTTATTTAAGAAATGTTGATATTAATGACTTTGTGTTTACAATATGGAGGCTGCAGTGGTTTATATACGCAACTACTATTCCAGTTTTTGCTGAGTGCTGGTCAAGATTCAACGCAGGTCATGAAGTAAATGGTAAATGTACACATGTAGTAATATAATTAGGCATCGTTTAGTAACATCGACCTCGAAATGTTCGAAAGACAGTTTCTTGAAGTGTACAATATTTACGCTTAAATATTATTAACTGTTACATGAAATACTACTTTCCTTTTATATACCACCAGGACTCATTAGAATAAGGCTACCAATATCAAGACTTATGCTTTGCAAATGGTTTGATAATGTTTTCTTGTCTATGAAAAATGTGGAACGGTGTTAATTCTGCAAATTCTTACGTGCTGTTGAGCACTCACGACAGATTTAGC